CGGCGAGAAGTAGGGCCGAATGAAGAGAAACTGTTCTATACGATTTTATGACTTTTTGTACAAATCCGCGTTGTATTATGTCCAGTTGCTTTTTGACACTACATTTGTTAATTGCTGATACCCAAGCACTAGCCGCATACATTACAATGGGCTCAACTACTGCAGTGTATATGGTCCTGATAATTTCGGGGTTTAGGCCCCAATAGATCTTTGCGGCTCTCGACAGCTGACGATACAAGTTCTGTACCTTACAACATACATTCTTAATATGCGTGTTGAAGGTAAGCTTGTCGTCAATTGTGAGGCCGAGTATTTTTATTTCTTTGGAGAGGCCAATGCTCTTCCCACCCATCTCCAGAATTGGTGTGTCATATTTAAGCTTATTTGTAACGACCATTGCTGTTGTTTTAAGTGGCGCAAAGTTGAGCTTATTTTTGACACCCCAACTATGGACATGTGCGAGATTCGCATTAGCCTGTTCCTGCACCTGTTTTGTTGTATCCCCGGCAAAAATCAGGACCACATCGTCCGCGAAAGCCTGGCAGTGGGTCCCTTTTTTGCTCATCTCCCTTAAAAGTGGATCCAATAATAGATTCCAGAAAATTGGACCACCTATCGAACCTTGTACACACCCTTTTGTGGTATTTTTAGTCCATTGTGCCCCAGCAAACCTGACGCTTACTGACCTATCCTTAAGATAGCTGTCTATCAGGCGCCTCAGGTTTACCGGGCACCCAGTCTCCGCAAGTTCACATCGCATCGCTGGCCACCAAGCATTATCGAAGGCTCCCTCTATGTCTAATGATATGAGCAGGATAAGCTTTTTCTCTTTTAGTTTAGTTCTTATTATCTGCATCATATCATAGAGGGAGTCCTCCGTGCTGCGTTGTGGCATAAACCCATACTGCTTCCGGCTTATTTTCGGTACGATGTGCCACTTGATTCTGCGGACTACCATCTTTTCAAAGACTTTTCCAAGGACAGGCAGTAGCCCAATCGGCCTGTATGATTTAGGGTGTGTATAATTCTCTTTACCAGGCTTCCGCAACGCCACTACAGTTGCCTTTTTCCATTTTATGGGGAAATGTGCGAGGCTTAAACATTTGTTAATTAGTGCCAAGAACAATGCCGCGTCCAGGGCAATAGCCACACCGCAAATATCTGCCGTAAGACCGTCGTCTCCTGGCGCTTTTTTCGGGTTGAAGTTCGACACGGCCCACATCAGCTCATCCACTGTAAACGGTGGATCACATGAGTTATCATTTGTCCCTTCGTTTACAGTTTTTGCGATTTCCCTTATTTGCGTATGTACCGCGTCGTCATCTTCAATACGATCCTCCGGGTAAAAGGTATCCGCCAGGATCCTGGCAGATTCTTCACTTTCTAGTGTCCTGCCACATTGGACAAGCGGAGTGTCATCCCGTCTCACCGTTGTACGGCTTATTACCCTGTATATTCCATCCCACATTGTTTCTCGCTCCTGTTTGCCGCAGAACTCTTTCCAGCTGGTGGTCTGAGCTCTTTTCACTGCTTCTTGGTACTCCTCTTTTGCTGTCTTGTATTGTTCAACAACCCATCCACGGCGGATTGGCGCTGCATAGGAGATTCGTCGCCTTAGCCTGGAGACTTCCTTTTTACGCTGTGTCAGTTCAGGGGTCCACCAGGGCAATCCCATTTGCTTTTTGTTTGCTATTTTCTGTATGCTGTTTTCACAAGCTTCGGTTATTGATTTTGTATATTCCTCTATTTGTATATCTATTTCATCTTTGTTTGTTATTTTGTCTATCTCTGCTCTATTTATACCTTTATCATTCCAAATTTCGACGAGTTTCTCACGAAACTCGCCCCAATTTGCTTTTTTCGTGTTATATTTCCTGGTTGTAGTTTTTATATTAGTGCCTATTGATTTCCCTAAATTTATGTCAAATAGGATTGCCCTGTGGTCCGAACTGGTTATTTCGTCGGATAGTCTCCAGTTGTCTGTTCTCCCAAGAAGGTTAGTAGAGCAAGTGGATATATCCACGCAGCTGGAAAATCTCTTCCCGCCTCTATATATGTCAAAAGTGGGATCAGTCCCTCTATTTAGGATATGGAGCTCCAGTTCATCGAGCTTTGCAGCAAGTTCCATACCCCTGTGGTCCGTTTTCCGGCTTCCCCACCAGGTATTCCACGCATTCACGTCACCACCGAGTATCACGTTCCTTGTCTGTAAGCCCACCACGGCCGCTCCAATCTTTTCAAGATAAGGATCGATTGGTTTGTCACCCTCTAGGTAGACGGACACCACTCCCAACTCCCATGCCCCTGTCCTGAGTTTAGCGACTGCGATATTCTCTGTAGTTAGGCTGGGGCATTGGGCGATGTCAATGGCGTCATCGAATAGCACAATAGCAGCCTTATTCACTTTTTCAGTGCTTAGGCTTCTGTCTCTTTGTGCTATTCTCGTCCCCGAGTAGGTCTTCATTTGACCAATTCGACCAATATAGGGCTCCTGAACCATAGCGAAAGATATCTTTCGCTTGGTCGCCTCTGTAATTAGTTCGGCCGTGGCTAGCTCGCACCTTTGGAGATTTGCCTGGATCACGTGATATCGATGGGGACGGGTGTTAGGTTCCGTGTTTACGTTTGAGTCAACCTTAGCAATACGCTACGGTAGACCTGGCGAGTACTTCCCATCTCTTTCTTACTGGACAGTCTTCGCTGAATGCGTTGTGATCTTTTCTATCGTGTTTTGCCTTCTTGCAGTTTATACATTCTGGTGTCTCTCCTGATAGCCAGTCGGCACATTCAGCTTTGAGATGTGGGCCTCCGCAATGACTACAGGCATCAGTCGCTTCAGTACATATGCGCTTGCTGTGCCCGTATCCCAGACAGCGCGAACACTGAACAAGAGGGGACTGATCCATTACTCTTACCCGCTGTAGATCAATGTGGATAACTCTAGCTTCGGTAAGATGATTCCAAATCTGGGGCGAGACTCTCAGTACAACGTGGGATGTATGTGGGTTCCTGGTCCTTTTCCTGTATTTAATTTCTATTCTATCTTCTTTCTCTAATATGTCTTTAAAAAGCTGCTTATTTTGCATCCTTATTGCCTTTAGTATCTCCTCATCAGTGTTATACTGCATAACATCTCTCAGAATTATGAGCGGATCCTTGTTTTTTATATCATCCACATTTAAATCCTTCCCTGCCTGTTTTAACCTCTCTTTGACTTTATTTATTTCCTTCTCCGTTCGGCATCCCAGTATTACTTTCCTATCCCTTGCCTTCCTGATTTTGTCTATTTTTAAACCTTCTTCCTTGGCGTTTATAGCGTTCCTTATCTTGTCAATGACCTGGTCTCCTGTTTCCTTTTCGTCATTTGATGTTATCATCACTGAATGCATAGCCATGTTCTGTGTAGGTAAAAGTGAACTTCTTGGTGGTCCAGCCGCTATGCTTGCGTATGTTCCTCTGTCCTCTTTAATTTCTTGCTTTTTCATTTCTTCTCTTAACTTTTCCATCTCTTTTCTACTTTCCTCTAAGAGTTTCCCGTGCTCTTCCAATTTCTTCATAAAGATTTGTTCTTCTTCTTTCTTTTTCCTGCTTTCATCGTCTAGTTTATCTCCTTTCTTCTCCTGGTCTTTAGGTTTTTCTTCTTTCTCAATGTTATTTCCTATTTCCGCCTCTTTCACCAATTGATAGAGTCTCTCTACTGCCTGAGTGACTTCCATTTTTATGTCGGTCCTTAGGTTTCGAGAGTTGTTGAGATGTAATTTTGCCTTTTGGAGACAGGCTCGAGCCTCTGTTAGACGATCCACATATTTTATATTTGCGATTTTGGGAGAGCTTTCTGTATTCTCAACTACTACTTTACGAGTTGTTCCTCTTGTTTCCTGAGATGGAACAACCTTCTGTTTTTGACGAGCTCCTGAGGCTACCTTTTTTGGTGAGATTTGTATTACAGTCTCCGTATCTACTTTTCCCATTTCCCACTCTCCGATACTTCTTCTTACGCTAGGGAGTTGCTTTGTACTATCTGTTTTAGGAGAAGGCCCAGCCTTCTCTTTCCCGTTTGAAGTGCCCTGAGGACTCGTGTCCTTGGCACTATCCTCATTCTTTTTGATAGGTGTACGAATGCCGAACATTTTCAGGGGAACGCGTCTTAGGTCTCAACAATTAACAAAATAATGTAAAATAAAAAGTTATATGCAAATAAATTAAAACAGATAAATAAACAACAGCAATAGCTGTTTGTCAAATTATGAAATTTTAAAGTTTGTAAAAGTTATAAAGTATTTTAAAAGTGTTAAAATTTTTGTGTAGATATTTGACAAGGATGCGGTATTTGAATTTTTCCAATTAACGAAGACACACAAATACCACGTCACAGTTCTTTTTATAAAAGTTTCTTTTTGTAGGGTCACAGTTCTACCTTCGTTACTGTGTATCACTTATGTATGTACTATGTATATACACAGTACAATATAATTGTAATGTTAAAATTATTAAAGAGTTTTGTCTCTTGTTGTCTATTTTGACTCTACCTAGAGTCTGTCGGTTCTCTATTTCTTGTGTTATAATTTTAAATATATACTGAATATATAAACTCTATATAAAGTCCAACTACACAATTACAAAAGTAATAAAAATTAAATGAATCAAAATAAAATCAAAAACAAATATCTTTATACTGCTCTATATAGAGTCAGTCTCCGTCTATTCTATCGGTTCTATACTAAAGGTTTCTACAAGATCTGTCTTAAATATTAAAAATTTCTTAAAAATACTACATATACGGAGAGTTATAGACTAACAGGTCTTTGACTCTATGTAGAGTCTGTATCTCGTAACCGGCCAAAAGTACTCCTCGAGCCCTATTCAAAGAACCCAAACTCGGTATACCTAGCCCAATAGGTTCAAAAGTTACCGCGTTTTCAAGTTCTGGTTGAAAAACAAGATGGCTGCCAAAATACGGTTTCCACGCTGTAACTTCCGAACGAACAGGCTTACAGCTCCGTGCTTGGGCTCGTCTTACTGGGCTCGACTAGGGCTATAATTTTGTGTGGTTTTCAGGGATCAAAATTTTGGGTACTGAAATTCCCTGAAAGCTGGGTTACCTGTTCCGGCACTACTTGCCAACGTCTAGAGTCCAAACCCCAGTCCTCTACGACTCCTAGAACAGGAGTTATTCCGATCCTAAACTTTTCAAAATGGCCGCCAGTCCAAACAGCAAACGGCTATTTCGGGCGTCTTTTAACCGATTTGGCCCGTGTTTGGGCTCATTTGAAAAGCCTCGGTGTCAAGCTTAAAGTTTTGTAAATATTTTGGCGATTAAAGCCCCCTTTAATAATAATTTAGACAAAAAACATATAATATTTTAGAAAATTTTGAATTTTTCGGCCAAATTTAGTTTTAAAAATCTACAAAAATTTTGAAACGTTATTCTCAAAATCCTTCCTATGAATATATATTTTTAAAATTTTTAACATGTAATATTAAGTATCATATGGTGATTTAAAAAATTAAAAAATTTCTAACTTAAAAACTACTTATTGCAAAAATCTAAATTTAAATATACACATTTAATATACTAATCTTAACACTATTTTATTCTAAAAACCAAGGGCTTCAATTTCGTTATTGCATAATTTAATAAACAAATTTTTCGAAAATTTAAAAGTCCAATATTTCTTCAACCACTTAACTTAAAATAGTTTAAAAAACTGCTCCCGGCTCCACTCTACGTTCGCTAACAGAATGTGGCTCCAAAAACAGCCGCACGATTCTGCATCACCGAACACGTGCCCACGTGGTACTTGTTTTTTTGGGTTTTTCTCAAAAACTGTTATTCGCAAAAATCTCAAATTTTGCACATTTGTAGGGACCACTAATAGCTTTAAAGCCGCACTATAAAAATGTGGGGTCTTCACTTTAGATTTTGAATAATTTAATTTTGAAATTTTGCCAAAATTTAAAAGTTCAATAATTCTTTAACCACTTAACTTAATTTTGTTCCGAAAATTGCTCCAGGCTCTTCTCCACGTGTGCTACCGAAATGCGACTTCAAAAGTAGCCGCACGATTTCGGATCATGAAACACGTGCCCACGTGGCACTTGTTTTTTTGCGTTTTTCTCCGAAACTATGGTTCGGAAAAATCTCAAATTTTGTTCATATGTAGGGGCCACTTATAGCATTAGAACCACACTATAAAAAGTTGGGGTCAAAGCGCTTAATCGCACAGCGTTCCACTTTAAAGATTTTTCACTTTTTGAAAAACACTTTTTTCCGGATAACTTTTCAAGCAAAACTCCGATTTTCTAACACTTTTCACTATTTTAAACCTCTCGACGAGACGCGTCTTTTGGTATATCGCACGTAAAAATCCGATGCAAAAAACCTATTTTTACGTATTTTTAAGCGCGGAGCGACTCAAAAACGTGGCGTTCGGGACAGCAGTTGACACCGGACTGGTTAGGTTAGGTTAGGTTAGGTTAGGTTAGGTTAGGTTAGGTTAGGTTAGGTTAGGTTAGGTTAGGTTAGGTTAGGTTAGGTTAGGTTAGGTTAGGTTAGGTTAGGTTAGGTTAGGTTAGGTTAGGTTAGGTTAGGTTAGGTTAGGTTAGGTTAGGTTAGGTTAGGTTAGGTTAGGTTAGGTTAGGTTAGGTTAGGTTAGGTTAGGTTAGGTTAGGTTAGGTTAGGTTAGGTTAGGTTAGGTTAGGTTAGGTTAGGTTAGGTTAGGTTAGGTTAGGTTAGGTTAGGTTAGGTTAGGTTAGGTTAGGTTAGGTTAGGTTAGGTTAGGTTAGGTTAGGTTAGGTTAGGTTAGGTTAGGTTAGGTTAGGTTAGGTTAGGTTAGGTTAGGTTAGGTTAGGTTAGGTTAGGTTAGGTTAGGTTAGGTTAGGTTAGGTTAGGTTAGGTTAGGTTAGGTTAGGTTAGGTTAGGTTAGGTTAGGTTAGGTTAGGTTAGGTTAGGTTAGGTTAGGTTAGGTTAGGTTAGGTTAGGTTAGGTTAGGTTAGGTTAGGTTAGGTTAGGTTAGGTTAGGTTAGGTTAGGTTAGGTTAGGTTAGGTTAGGTTAGGTTAGGTTAGGTTAGGTTAGGTTAGGTTAGGTTAGGTTAGGTTAGGTTAGGTTAGGTTAGGTTAGGTTAGGTTAGGTTAGGTTAGGTTAGGTTAGGTTAGGTTAGGTTAGGTTAGGTTAGGTTAGGTTAGGTTAGGTTAGGTTAGGTTAGGTTAGGTTAGGTTAGGTTAGGTTAGGTTAGGTTAGGTTAGGTTAGGTTAGGTTAGGTTAGGTTAGGTTAGGTTAGGTTAGGTTAGGTTAGGTTAGGTTAGGTTAGGTTAGGTTAGGTTAGGTTAGGTTAGGTTAGGTTAGGTTAGGTTAGGTTAGGTTAGGTTAGGTTAGGTTAGGTTAGGTTAGGTTAGGTTAGGTTAGGTTAGGTTAGGTTAGGTTAGGTTAGGTTAGGTTAGGTTAGGTTAGGTTAGGTTAGGTTAGGTTAGGTTAGGTTAGGTTAGGTTAGGTTAGGTTA